TACAGTATTGTACTGTACGTACCTCTCCTGTCTCTTCTGTGTGAACTAAAACACAAACACTTGAATGTGAACTTCACATAAAACAGAGATGTAAATTAGATCATCTGTAAATGTCATTATCACCTCCCCCACTTGAAAGTGACAAGGATGAAGAGTGTGATTTAGCTTGTGTGGGTATGTGGTGCAGTGCTTCCTGTAGAAAATGTTCAGAGATGTGATGGTGTGTTTGTGGTTTGGATTGTGAGGAACAGAGATACATCTAATTCTCCCTGCAGCTTGTTATTGTTTATACATGTTTATTGTATAACACAAGAGAAACTTACTTTAGTGATACCCAAATGAAACTAATAAACTTGAGCAAGAGCAGCGTTAACAACAGGTGGAGTATTGTTAGGCCCACGGCGGTGCCCGAGGATTGCATTCATAATCAGCATGCATGCAATAGTGTGTGTGTGTGTGTGTGTGTGTGTTTGTGTGTGTGTGTGCCTGCCCGTTGGGACCGGACTAGAGCGACAGGTGGTCAGCCTGACATCACTATCACATTTTTGTAGGGCTGAAAAAGAGAGCATGATCAACACACACACACACACACACACACACACACAGACTCACATTATCACACAAACAGGTGCTGGGCCGCAAGAAGTGGTTTCCGTGGTAACATGGGTCTGCATCCAACTTGGGCTATATAATGCAAACTCATTTGCTCTCAATCAAAAAAACTTACACTCACACAAACACACAATCAAAAACAAAAACCTACAAACACACACACAACAAAACCCTTGAACAACCTGTGTGCTCATGTTCAGTTGACATTAACTGTATTTGTGTGCAGTTACATCACATACAGTTATATTTACATTATTCATGCTGGCTGCTCATGTGTGTGAAATCTATGAAGGTTTTGTGACGTGAGTCCAGGCATGTGTGCATGTACTTGGTTCAGAGAAAGACAAATAGATCCAGCTCACGCTCCACATAACGTTTTCTGCTTTTCTCTGACTCATGTAATCTGTTTAATATCCTCCATTGTCTCCAGCTCTCTGGCCTGGCCGGCTCTTTTGAGTCTGCAGTATGTCGGGCATGGCATGCAATGAAGATGCTATCAAATGTCTCTGACACCAGCTGCAGCTTTACAGTGTACACACACACACACACACACACACACAGGCTGCTGGCACAGGATGTGGAGGAGAGTTGAAAGGATTAGAGGTCAGTGTAAGGTGTGTTAGTCAGCAGACTGTGCCAGTAGGTTGTTTGTGGATCTGTTGGTGTTTACTTGTGTTGTTGAATGGAGTTAGAGCTCAACACCAAAGCCAAATCCAGTTTCTGTTGGTGGGTTTGTCATGATAAATTCTAAAGTGGCCACACTCAAGAGCTCAGGCAGCTCTTTATCAGTAAACAAGAGGGAGAAGATTTTCGTGTCACTTTAATCTTTACTTCCTTCCATAATAAATGTTCTATAGTCAGACACACAGTAACTCTGTGAAGCTGTTTTAACTTGGTATGTTTGTTTAATATGTTTTCCCCTTTAATGGAATTAGGTTACGTTTTGTCTGTTAAAAAAAAACACTGGAAAACCCATTGGACGGATCATCCCAAAACTCCATGATTTTGTGAGATAAGAGGTTTTTTTTTTTACTTTTTGTTGATTCCTCAGAGAATAATTCACAGATTTGGATGAAAAAAATCAGGCATGTTTAAGGGACTGACATTTACAAGCGTGTGCATTTTGGTGGAGATCCAATTCAAAATTCAGATCTTGTGAATCTAAATGTGGATGTTTCTTTCTAAATTTGTTTTTATTTCTTGGATCACAGATGACTTTCACTCTTTGCAGCTCTTTTAATTTAGGTGAGTTTATTCTTATGTCTGGAGTTAGTTATCAAGGTTATTATATCGCTGACTGATCCTAATAATTGGTTGAACATGTCACAGAGTGATGGTTCGGTCTGGAGCACACAGATATATTTAGAGACATTTTTTTTATTGTGTGCAACTGATTAAAAAGAAATACGACACAACAGACCTGACCTAGATGTGTCCTGTCTACCGAAGCATCGTCTGAGTTAAGATTTAGCCGAGATTCTCTCACACTTATGTGACACACTATTGTGGATGTGATCATGTAGAATTATTTAGCAGTATTTAACGGTATATGTATCCCTTAATATTATAAGTATACTCCTAATTTGTGCACACATCCACAAACGCCTACCTTGGTGCTGTCCTGGCACTGGAAGACGTAGCAGGCACAGTTTGGGGTCTTTCGGACCAGGCAGCCAAAGCTGCTGGGCTCCTGGCTGTTGCGGATTAGCTTAGTGACCTGGTGAGGACGACACTCAAACAGCACCGTGTGTGTTAAAGGATCCCAGACGACTCCCTCTCCCGGAATGGAAACGCATCGCATCCACGATGCTGACACACACAGAGAAACCATCTGATTGGAAGTAGAAGAGTCCAACCGTCCATCTCCAGACCCTGCACGCTGAATCCCCGCGCCCAGCTCCTTCTCTGTAGGCCGAGACCTGCTGATCTCAGCCACCACCCAGGGTAGCATGGTCATGGTCGTGAGGTGGTGGACCGCCCGAGAACCAATCAATGTCAGTTTGTATTGTATCTCCTCCTCTTCCTCTCCCTCTTCCTCCACCTTTGCGGTCCTCTCTGCAGCATGGGGGACTTTCTGAGGCCAGTGTGTGGTAGAGGTGAGACGTGAAAACGATGGACAGGACTGGCGGTTTGGAGTTAGATTTGAACGGGGTTTCTCAGAGCTCCCCAACCTGCGCTGTTCAACTCTTCTGGGCTTCACTTCAAAGTAGAGTCCTTCCATGATTGAAGCCAGAGGAAACTGATTGCCTCTACTTCACCTGAAAAAACAGCAGTTACAGCACAGAGACAGTTAAAAGCAATATTCAACAACCAAAAGGACACACCAAATCTAATCACTGTATTCTAAGGAAACAGACGCAAACGTTCAAAGCAGTATTAATTATTGCTGGAAGTATGTTCCACTTTGTCATTCGTGTAGCAACAGGATAGTTTCCCCTGAGGGAGAGGGTCATTTAAAGGGTATGTGACCAAATGACCACCTGGTGTTGTTTAACCAACTAGACACATGACTTGTCTCAAGGACACACAAACACATAACATTTAGAGTATGGGGATCAGGTTTGGCCACTGGTGTGTAAGACAGTGAAAGGAGATAGAGGAGCAGACCTCTCCTGCTCTACATTGTCAACAGACTCACATTAGACAGAGGTGTGGCAATATATATGTGAAATCAATGGGCAACAACGTCTAAACATTAATAAAGGGACGAGATGATAGCAGTTAACACCGTCATCTCTATAGAAAAGTCATTACTGATTAATGAACCCAAAACGGGTGCTGACGTACCGATCGTGTGTGACCTTGTAGAGAAAACCCTCCACTTTAACAGCTGGGACAGGAAACATGCAGGTCGTTGTTCTGCACAATAACAGTGAACATGGAAATGAAAACTACATCGTATTTCCTAAAGGCTCGGCCACCAAATGCCATATTTCACACGTAATCATCATTTTACGCACGGAACAAGTTCTTTTTGCGCACGAGGTTGCGCGAACAGCAGAGTGTATAATGCGCGCTACGTTCGACGAGCAAGATAAGTATTTTAGTAAAGTCATCAATTAGCTGAATACAGTCTCCTTACCTGGTCACAGTCCTGCCCGCTGCGTGGAGCGGTGGAAGTTGGACGAAGGGAGGTTGTAATGTTTGTCCGAGCAACTCAGAGACAGAGAGAGAGGGAGCTCCACAGCCAGCTCTCTACACTTCGAGTTAAATATAGAAGACGACACCGACACAACCTCCCTGCTCTCCTCTCTGTGCTCTGATGGAGCATGACAAGTGCATGCTGCCTGCATGCGCTGCAGGAGGATGCAGGGGTGTCGTGGCGAGAGAGAGAGAAAGAGAGAGAGAGAGAGTGTGCAAATATCTTTCCACGCTTTTGTGGACGAATGTTGTGTAGAAAATTATGTTGTGGAGACATTTTAGTTGCTTTGGACCGGGGGAGACTTTCCTGAGCAATATTTCCACATAATAGGAACATGAGGAAGACTCCTAGGTCCCCCGGCTTTATTAAGCATATGGAAAGATAAAGATACTCCCCCAGCTCTATATTAGCTTCATATGATATGGAACTGTCTCGAGACGGTTTCTGTTCCCTGTATATCTGGATGACTCTCAATAGAAGTGTCCCATCATTTAAATATAGAAATATAGATACACGAAAGTCGATGCGTGTCTGTTTGTGTTCACAAGCATGATTAAATGGAATATCACCTCTATATGTGACAAAATAGGTTACTTGTTAATCATGGTACACATAACGTCCTCATATAAAATATTAGAACACCATAGTTCATGGTGACCTCCATTGTGTGGAAATGGAAACAATTGTCAATAATAAGTGTCATTAAACTTTTAGTCTCCGCTACGAGGAGCTGTACCGTAAGACCACAAATACACGTGCATCCTTTTTGTGTGTGTGACTGGCGTGACCGGGTTCCCGTAAACAACGGACCACGTGACCGCAGGTTCCTTGTATAGGAGCTAGGAAACATTCTGCAGTCAGTGCCCTCACAACTGAAGAATGATCACCACGTGTTTATTCTCTTTACATTTGCACACACGCACAGTTAGAAACCGGTTTTTATTGACTGGAACAGTGCAACAGCATTTTAGAATTCAGGGCACAAGAGGAAAGGTGAGCAGCAGAAATAATGGTGGTTGATGATTGTATGTTGAACTTAGTTTGGTTATTACAACTACTCAATCCACAGAATGTCTCCTTCCTGATAACTTGAGCTTTAATACTCAGCTGTTTTACCAGCCGCCAACTTTGCAGGGGCATATTTTTCTACATCTGGCCTAGTTTCAAAATATTTTTCAGTCACTCTCTGTATTATATTTTACTGTTAAATAAGATAACACACATTTAAAGCAGTTTACAAAATCGTGGTCACAACTATTCACTTGTCTGTAATTCTTCATTTTCGCAGCCTCATACTTGATGCTGAAGCAAAGTGTGGAATGCATCATGTTAAATTCACGTGAATATACAAGTACCCAGTCAGAAAGAAGGAATGATTGTGGGTGTATAACAGACATTTCAGATCTCAAGCACTGTGATAAACTGTATCTGCATCATGATGACTGCTGGATGTAAAACTGGTACTTGACCCATAACTATAAATCAAAAATGGATGGATGGCTAAACAAACTCAATCTTGGGTCACTGACCACAGATTATTAAAATAAAGACATTCATCAGGAATATTCAGATCTCCAACAAGTTCAACTAGCAAAACCAAACTGTGGTAAAATGCTCATTAATGTGATTATAGAGCAAAATAAAACTTATATTTACCAAGAATCCCTTCTGGAGTAAGTAAGACATTGTGTGAAATACTGGTCAGATATAAGCCACAACTAGTTCTGTGTGCGTTTGTACATCTAGTCAGTGCTACTCTGGTTTGGGCAGCAACTTATTTTTCTGCGGCTCGAAGAAGTTTTCAACGATTGCATCAACCAAGTCGTCCAGCTCCTTCTTCAGGAGCGTCACGTCACTGTTTGACACACAGAGAGAGGGGAGGAAATTAAACTTATATCATGAGGTAACTGTTGAAAAAATTTCAAAAATTAATAGGCAGCTATTTTGAAAACCTATTATTGGTTTGTGAGTGATCAAGAAATTGATTGGTCCATCATTTACAATGTGAGACTATGCAGTTTTATGTCACTGTGAATTGAATATCTTGTCTCTTGGATTGATGGTCAAACAAACCAATACAGATAATGCGATGTGGTGGATATTTATAATATAATATAGATGATTGAAAAAGAAAACAATCAATATATTCAGCCTTACAGACATTACATGTATGTCACTTGTTGACCTACCTGTTACCAGGAGCAGCACAGAGCTCAGTGTAATATTTGATCTTTGGCTCAGTGCCACTGGTCCTCATGGTGGCCACGCCCCCATTAGAGAAGGAAAAAGTGATCATTTGACTTGAGCTGGAGGTGGGAAGAACCTGATAGACGAGAGGAGCGAGTGACACATGAACTGATGGACGAACAAGAGGAGTAACCAGCAAATGTGAAAACATAACCTTTCATAATCTGATTTCAGAATATATATTTTTGCCACTGCTGCAATAACTGTCATCTGAACATCAAGGTTTATAAATTGAAGTTGGTAAATGTGAATGCGAAAGTTAATGTAGGCATTGTGCGTTTGTGCTCTTACAGCTTTCTTATCAGGTTGGTTGCTGTCGTGGCCGGTGGTCAGGTCTCTTACAGCAGAGATGGAGAAGCGACCGCATTCGGTGGGATACGAGTCTTTCTGGCCACCGTGCTTGCGCAGGCGCTCGAACAAGGAGCAGATCACATCCTGGTCGTGGCAGATGAAGTAGGAATTCTTACTGATGTGGTAGCCATACCTGACAATGAAATGTGGAGAGATTAAAGTGTGTTGAAACAACCTACAGCGATCAGCATTAAAGCGATAACTGGGCTGCGTTCAGGCGGACAAAACATAGCAAAATGTTTATTTCTACGTTGGTGTGGAGGAAATCTTGGAGGTAGTTTTAAATATGTGTTTAATATGTATTACAGTTGATGTTTAAGAGTGAGGTTTAGCTTACTATATTATAACTTCTTTATAAAACTTGTGACAAACACGTCAATGAACATTCATAGTGTGCACAGCCTTTTTAATATGAAAGGGTTTATCAACACGCTGATGCTCCAATAGACCCACAAAACGAGAGAAAACGACCTCGACGCCTGTTACACATCACTGCACACAGTTTCAAGCAAACATGTCTTTCAACCATAAACCAAAGCAAAAAGGAGCAAAAATTTTTGAAATTGAAAGTGCCCCTGGTTTTAATGCTGTGGTTATAGAAACCAATGTCTGATGAGTACAATGTGTGTGTGTGTGTGTGTGTGTGTGTGTGTGTGTGTGTGTCTTACTCTTCATAGACAGTTGTGAGCTGTTGAGAAAGGCTGATGTTCTTTGTGGCCAGATAGGAAATCATCTCTCCTGCAATGGCGGCAGCACTCACTCCATCCTTGTCCAATACACAGGGACTACACATATACCCTGAAACACACATACACACACACGCACGCACGCACACACATGCACACGCACACACACACACACACACACACACTTTACTAACAGTGTGTGCAACAGCAAGTGATTCCAATTAGAGCATCCTAATCCTGTTTCATGGGAATGCTCTCAACTATGTGATGTACGTCTGTCATGTTAACCCCAAACGATCTTTAACCCAGTTCATGTGTGACTGAGGGCATCAACCAAATAACTGCAAATATCTGAGACCAAGGTTCTCAGTCGACAAACTTCTGATGTCATTCTTTTACTGATTTTAATGATGTTTCCTTCAAACAAGTAGCTCATGGATATACACTGAGGTGTATGATATCTGCTATAAGTTTCAGTACATAAGAAAAAGCTGAAGAATTTGAAGACTGACTTTTTGTGGTCACCCACTGGAGCCCAAACTGGAGAGACTGCCTTGCTAAAGGTCATACTGGCTTTGCCCAGGTACAGGTGGGGTGTTAAGTGCCATACGATGCACTGACAGAGTAGCTTATGTGTGTGACAAAATGAATCTATTTTTTACAGCACACTGGCTCTGTGATTACTTTAATTTATTAAACTTTCATACAGGTTGGTAGGTCTATGAGGTCAAAATGTAACTCCAATCACTTCTCAGCAACATCATAAACTGTACCTGATAACTTAATTTGATAAAAATGTTCAAATGTTCTTCACGTGAATACTGTTAGACAGATCAAATTAAATTTAGCTTGTGACATCATGGAGATCATTATATGCACAACCCTTTATAATGTGATGCCACAGAGAAACTATAAAAACTGGCCGTATCCCTGTAATTATGGCACTGGACATTCATTTGTGTGTGTGTGTGTGTGTTTCTACCTATGGCCTCCTCAAAAGCAAAGACGACACTCTTCCCCGTGTCCAGAAGGTCTTTGGCTCTGTTCCCCATCCACTTGAATCCTGTCAAGGTTTCCTGTGGTTTGCACAGGGGTAACAGTAAACTTGAGGTGTTTGAAATGTTGACTTCTGCAACATTTACAAAGGTGAACCCAACAACTAAAAGGAGACTGGCTTAGCAGGATTTTGCAGTAGTACAGGCTTGCAACAGGAAACGCAACAACATTGCAGTGCTGAGTTTGATTGTGTTACCTCAAAGTGGAAGCCTTCCTTGAGAGCAATGGCGCGCAGTATCTTGGATGAGACGGTGCTCGCCAGCATGTAGACGTTTTTAACAGCGTCAGCGTCTGAGTTTTGCTGTTTCCAGCAACGGAACATCCACCAACCGAGCAGCGCTCCCAACTCATTACCACTGAACACTCGCCACTGTCCGCTGCCACAGGGAGAGACACAGGTTGTGCAAATACAGATACAAACTCATTTTCCACTGACGGTCATGTCCATAATACCATTTCAAGAAATATGAGTTTTCTTTTTTAAATCCACCTGAGAAGGAATTCAGAATCTACAATTCCTCAAACAATTAAACATGATGGGGTTTAAAGCACGACACTAACACTTTATGGGCTTAGCAAATTCAAATGTTTGTCATTTGTGGAAAATCCAATGTCAATAAAAAGGGTGAATTTAGAATTTTGTTCATTTACTGTATATTCTTAAGAGTGTGGAGGAGGCTTTAAAACTGCATTTTAATAATGATGCTGGGTGATGAAAAATAATTAAGTCTTAAAATAGAAAATAATATTTTGGTGTCTAGTAAAAATTAAAAAAAGGAAAGTTTCTTCATGAGTTTGAATTCAATACCTCCACAGAGTGTTTTTAACCATCTCTTCATTGCCTACAACCCTGGTTCTAAACGTCACTGCCCTTAAACCTGCCCCATTAATATAATCACTGCAATAGCAAATTTACACAAACACACACCTCTCCTGCTTCTCAGCCATGGCCAGACGATCAGCATCAGGATCATTCGCCAAAACCACGGTGGCCCCCTCCCTCTCTGCCAGTGAGAACGACAGTGTCTGCAGAACACACACACACTTTACACCTTCAACCAAAACACATCATCTACTGTACAGTGTGTAAGACTGCATGTGACGAGTGTCGGCATCAACCTGTGAAGGTCAGAACGTACCAGGACTCCCTCCCCCTCCTCAGGATTGGGATACTTGACGGTTGGGAATTCAGGGTCTGGATCTTTCTGCTCCTCTACTGCATACGGAGGGTGGAGGTCAAATGCCTTGAAAGCTGACTGGACAAACGCGTGGCCAACACCGTGCACAGATGTGTGCACGATTTTCACCTCTGAACTCTTGTTTATGTCCCTGCGGAGACAGAGGCTGAGTTGAAAACATGTTGGTTCTTTCTCTTACGACATTTCATTCTCAAAATGGCCTTAAGTGACAGATGATGATTAGAATCGGTTGATCTCATTTTACAGCCTGCTCTTTAAATGATACATGCTGCACAGTGGGTGGCTTTGTCTGCGAGCACCTGTGATGGCAGTGTTTCTGGATGGCTTTGAAGTATTGTGTGTGGATGTCCTGGTACGGGTCTTTCAGCAAGGGGCTCTTCAAGACCTCCTCTGTGTTCCAGGACTCAGGCCAAGGCTCCAGGTTCTTCTCTATGGCTTTGGAGATTCCTTTGTCATGAGGAGACACAATCTGGGCACCGTTCTCCCAGTAAACCTGAGACAGAAAACACAGATGTGACGGCAGCTACAACACCTGTATAAGTATAAGTAGGATAAGTAGGAAAAGAAACATGAAAGAAGTTTTACCTTGTAGCCGTTGTCCTGTTTGGGGTTGTGAGAGGCAGTCACCATGATACCAGCACACAGACCCAGGTGGGAAACTGTGAAAGGCTGCAGGAAGGAGAGGAACATAATTACTTGTGTTTATATAAATAAAACATGAACTGATGGTGACAAGACTTTAAACTGATGTTGACTGATTAAAAAGCGAAATGAAGTGTCCCTACAAGTACGCAAACATAATAAGTTAGAAAATGTGAGGATGAAGAAAGGTAAGATAAGATAAAATCAGACAAAATAACATTCCTACAAAGAGGCCAGCGGTAATCCCACTTTTTCATATGGCTGTCGGCCTGAGAGTCAGTCTGTATTTAAAAGTTCCTCTAAGGATCCATATAATGAACTCTGTCATGATGTGGAGTAGAGGCAGGAAAACTGCTGTAAATATCATATCACTTAAAGTAACCTGGTGTCAAGACTAAATATTTGGGCTGCAGTGAGAACATAGCAAATGTTTGTCATTCTTTTCCTATAAATTCTTTAAATTTGAGATGAATAATAACTATTTGATTTGTATTGTGATGATTATAAATATCAACTGATATGAGATTTCTTCTGATAATATTTCTGCCATATCACCTTATCCTAGTATGAACACCAAAGGGTGTGAACTTTACTGTCACAGGTCCTGAACTGAGTGTAATCTAGTGAATCATATGCACATTATGCAACTTTTAGTACAGTACACACAGGGCAGGGAGTTTTTTGAATGGAATTTGCCCTGTAGCCTCAGTACATCTGTCACTCACCCCACTGACAAACATGACACCAGACAAACTGATCCGACATCAGGATCTGATTTTGTTGTAGTTAATAACCACAGAAAGATTATTCAAATGTAAATGTGATACTTCTGTTTTAAGGCGTTTATATCCTCCATTTCTGTGGTGAATAGACAAAAAACAATATGATGAAATAACCAAAGTTCATTTCACCATTTACCACAAATGGCGTCGGGGTGATGTCAGAGAAGAGGTGCACAGGAACCCCTCGACTGATGAAAACAGCTGCAGCCAGGCTGGCAAAACGCTTGCTGTTGCCCCCGCTGGGAGGGTGGGCCCGGGCATCGTAACCGATCACCACCCCTCGCTCCTTTAGGTTCTCAAAACATTCCTCCAGGTAGTGACAGAAACCCTTTCATGGAAGAAGACAAGACACAATGTGTTAAACGTGCAGTGGAGGACATTTAACAACAGTGACACATGAGCGACGCAGCTACGCATAGAATCAATAATGTGACTTTCCATGTGACTTGATGGTTAGCGTGTGGAAGCTACAGAAGTTTATCCATTAACCAACCTGTGTGGTCTGGATGATAGTGAGGTCATTCATACATGAGACGCCAGGGCCCATGGCTGCTCTCAGACCGGCCGTACCAAACTCCATCCTGGAGGAGAAACACTTCTTCAGAGCCTCCACTGCTCCGTCCTTCACCAGCTCCTGCACCATAGACGCCGTTTTTGGGTTCTGGGGAAGAAAATACACAGTGATTGATCGTTTAAGCTCTAATTCATGTATTTATCTGAGTACATTAGAAGCAGATATAAAGAATTTATTAAAGATATGGTCTCTTTATCAACTGTGGTGCGTTTTCAAAATGAAAGTGAAAACTAAGTGGTTGCACATGGTGCTTCCTGTTTGACTGGGACACTGAGAGCTAATGTAATAATGTTAGGACTGGGTGGAAGAGTCCTGTGTCTCTTTTATTGTCCTGAATGACTCTGTGTTGGACTAATAAGAGAAGGTAACTTTTTATTCTGCAGGTCTGTTATTTTTTTGGGGATCTTTTCCTCCAAAGCTTCTTAATATCATCATCATTACTGTATTACTGTATTGCTATTATTATCATTATTGTTATTATTATAATGCAGTGAACCCTTGCTCTATTATGAGCCAATTCAATTCAATTAATTTTATTTGTATAGCACCAAATCATAATATACATTCTCTCAAGACACTTTACATAGAAGGTCAAGACTTTCAAACCTTATTAATATAGAGAAACCCAACAGTTCCCACAATGAGCAGCACTGTGGAGGAGAAACTCCCTCAGGGTTGTGAAGTGTATGTTTCTCTCCATGTTGCATTGTTAGCTTGCCTGGAGACAAACTCAACACTTCGAGAACTAAACCAACAATCTTTAAATCGCTGTGTACGTTAGTGAGTCTAGAGTCAATAGCAGATGAAGTAATACACGTTTGTCACCATCATCATCAGAGGAGCTTCTCTCTACATGTCACAGCACTGAGCTAGCTGTTAGCAGTTAGCTTACCTTGTCATGCTGCAGCCACAGTTTGATCGCCTGGTCCAGATCTGCGTCTCCGGTTGTGGTCGAACCGTTTTCCATTGTTCTTCTTTAGCCGAGTCCAGGAACAGAAAGTTGATCTCAGATCTGATCCTGACCTCACCCCGGAAACCTTTCCACCGAGAGACCCCGGAACACGCTGTCAAACTGTGGCGCTTTGTCACCGCCCCTCTGGGACCCGCCTCTGCCTGCTGATTGGTCAATTAGGGCGTGAAGCACGGGGATTGGTGAGGAATGGAGCGAAATACCAATCAGCAGGCAGAGGCGGGTCTTGAGCCGTGTGACAGCGCGGGTGGAGGCGGAACGACGTTAGGCGTCACGGGTTTGTCATGTGACTACTCCACAGACAGTTAATTTAAATTGAATATGTTTATTCACAATGTAGGATTCTGTCTCGTGGACACAGTGATGGGGACAGAGCAGTGACTGCACATAGAGATTCATGCATTTATGTTTGTATGTAAAGATTAAAAAAACCAAGATGTATGTAAAGAGAGTTAAATAGAATTGTGCCCGTGCTGCAGAGTTAAAGAACAATATCTTGAAACGGTGGAAATTGTATCTACTCAGTCTGTACTTAAATGTCAATACAGTTTTGAAGAAGTTTTATTATTCTACTTTGATTTTATGCAACTTAATTATTTTACTCCACCACAGAATATGCATTGCTTTCATTTGTGGTTATTATATGTTAGGATTTTAATAATGTGGTAATTTAACTCTAAAATACAGTTGCATGCACCACTGTTGACCTCAACTTAAAATTTGTATGTATTCAATTGTATTTCATTGGGGAGAGGGGGAGAGTCATTCTTTTTTAGAACATAGGACAAGATGGAGAATATCCCTTGATGTTAAAACATGTGGTTATGTCATAAATTACAGTTTGTAAACTATTTCTATCACCAGCAAAAAAAGAAATGATCAAGACTTCTGCCCACAACTGTACATTATAAAATCTTATTACACTTCATAATAATCAGTTAATACATTATAATATAACCCTGGTCAATTACATATTTTACTTTTAAAGCATTGGGCCAATAAAAAAATATATTCTTCTTTTACTAAAAGTGATAAAAGTGTGAAGTTTGGGCAGTGGGGAATATGGAAGATGAAATACATTGAGATGTAGCAAATTTAATTAATAATCACTTGAGACTATTGTATGTTTGTGTCCACAGATAAACAAACATGGAGGAAACAGTAGCAGCAGTGAGACTCTAATTTCTGGCATCACTGCTCCTGAAAAGTGAATTAATAACTGAATTTGGGGAGTTTCATGATTGTTATTTTAATTCTGATGGCATGGCTATTTTTATATTGATAATGAGGTTATTTATAATCAACAGGATGACTCAGTTGTAGGATCATCTCATATTCTTCATCAGTTCTAGTTAGGAATACAAACTAATGACACACTCCAGAGATGATAAAAATCTCATTAGCTTATGATAATACAATTATCTATCAGAAAAGAAATGAATTAGGTGACTGGAATCAGGTATAATTTATAGAAATTATACAAAGGAGAATGAAACATGAATCATCATCATGATCAAAGTCTGAATTAAAAAGCATTGACTGGTTTCTTTACCTGAATCACAGAAGTAGTCAGATGAAGCAGATTCAAGTTTTATTTTTCCACATAGCTGTTGGTTAACCAGTGTTCATGTTATCAAGGTCTCATCTCCCACTCTTTCTTTGTGAGTTATCATGTTATAACCACAACAGATAAGATAAATAACTGAATTTACCTAGTGGGTGTTTAAAAGCTAACACCGTCAGGGCTGCATGTCAGTGATGCATAAAATCCAGATCACACAAGAACTGGTGAAGTGACACCAATCAGCAGATTTGCATCAAATATATGTAATAAATATGAGTATATCCATATTTTCGAATAATTTACAAATGAATAGATGTTATTGAAAAAAGACACCCCTTTATTCCTAAATGAAAAAAGGATCCTAATCCAACAGTAGTTTTAGAAGAAAATCACTGTCCTTTGGTTGCAACAACTTTAAAATGATGATCAGAGCTGAAGCACAACACACTACTGGACTTCAGTGAGCCGTCTGCTTTTATTCAAATTCACAAAGTGGAGAAATTAATGTGGACAAACAAACTGAAAGAATACTATAATGGCTACAGCTTATTCTAACCATTATCCTTTCGATTATCCATTGAAGTAGTATTCTCTCTTTATGTCTATTAGAATTTTAATGTTGTTATTGAACAAATTATTGTTGAACTAACTGCATGAACTCCTGGTACTAAAATGTCTACCTCCTCCTCTGTAGATCAGTGACCGAAACACTGAGAGGTCATGAATCCATGCCTCATGTTCAACAGGTGCTGTATATAAATTCACATTTACCACAGGGTGAAACATGAAAAGGCAGCTCCGAGTTCAGGTTCAAACTCAAGAACACAGAGGTACCTGGTCATGTAGGAAAAGCACAGGTATAAGTAATAAAGATTAGCACAGAGTTTAGGATATGTCCAGCATTTTTCAAATTAGACTTCAATCTGGCTAATCACAGAGGGGATTTCTAGATTTATTGTGACAGATGTTGAGTGTCCATGGCCTGTTTTGAAGCATTAGTCATGTGATTTACTTCTTATTCTTTAATTTAAAGTATTTTTTCACCCTTTGGTTGATCAGTGCGGAAAAAATGTTTGCTTGATGTTTATTTTGTCATGTTCATACTACAAATGAGGAAACAAAATCTGCAGTCCTCATTTTGTCTAGAAATGTATTGAAGTCTAAAACTTCAGTCTGAGTTGGACAAATCAAATAGGTTCATTATCTTCCACATCTACTGCCATTAAAGAGAGTTTTCCTGACAAGTCTCACCCAGTTCAGCTGCGGTGGAAAGATGGGAACAGAAAAAAAAAACTTTCAAAGAAACATTCAAATTTCTCCACAGAATGAGGCCATGACCTTTAATACTCGTCTCCAATCTAATCAAATGTCCCAGCCATTATTAATCTTATCATGTCCATCTGTGCTCTTCCTGTTATGACATGTCCAAATGTGCACCATAAGCAGAACTGGTGACTGAGAACTGAGCTTTGAGGTCTGAGTCATGTGAACAGACATTATCATCACTGATCATTTGGATCACAGCCCTGACAGCCTCTTGACACCCACACCCCCCTCACACTGAGGCTATCTTCTGCGTTTCCTCTGTTTGATGATGAACAGGTTCTCATCGGTTGGATACTTCGATGCATTTTTTTTGTTTTTGTTGGCGAGGCTTCGGGCTCGATTCCTCCTCTTCCTGCTGTTCTCTTGCTTTGACCCCTGAATCGCACCAGCTACAGTCAAAAAGAGACGGTCAGGTCTGTTGTCTCTGTGTCCCTCATTCTGGACGTTGTTTGTCTTCTTCATCTTTTTCTTCCTGCTCTTCTTCTCCATGTTCTCTCCTTTGGCTCCTCCTCTGGGAAAGTCATCTGCTTCATCAAAACTGAGTTTCGATGACGGGAGTGGGTGTCTTGATGGGGGGACTGGTCTCTTGGGTTTCCATGATTTCACATTGCCAGTGCTTTGCTCTGGTTTGTTCTTGTTGAACTTATTTGTTTTCGGGGTCGTGTCCCTCAAGTCATTGTCACTAAAAAAGATGTGGCTAGCACTGGCTCTATGGTTGTTCGGGGTTTGGTGAGGCGTACTGTTATGTTGGTGGCTGTTTTTGTGGTGGCTGAATTTCTGTTTCTTCTTTGGCGGTCCTGGTGTGACAGGGGTCTCACAGGTGTTGGACAAACAGCCATTTTTCTTCAATTCTGGGGAAAACAAAAGCACAAAGGATGTCATTACGTTTTTTTTTTTTTTTTCCTCTACATGCAGGGACGTTGCCACACCATCGTGGACATACTCATCGTGGACATTCTCGTTGTAGAAAAGTAACGGTCAGTATTTGGCGATCATTCTTGATATTGAAGCATTTCACACAAATCGATGTTTAAACTGTAGCGGTTCAGAGAGAGCTGAGTCTGTGTGTGTGTGTGTGTGTGTCAAACAGGATCACTGTTAGCGGTTTCCACTGCTTCTCCAGCTAATGCATTTTACTTTTCAGGTGCCTCAGTGTATTGTCTCTGGACGTCTATAAATGGTCCAAACTCTCTCCATCAAGTTTAGGATTCATTGAACCCTGCAGGGTCAGGCGCCTGCATACACCTCTGACCTGCTTCAGCCATGTATTACAAGTAGGTAAGTTAGGTCATGTGACCAGGGCTCTCTGGTCGTCCCGCTCTTTTAAAAACAAAAGGTGATCATGCTTTTGAAGTTGTGGCTTCAACATCGTGGAATGATTGAATGCTGAAGCCTATAATAGAGCTGAAAACCAGTTTTACGTCAACCATGTGCACTGTAGTGTTTGCAAACAATGCACTTTTATGGTCCATCTGTTGCATGTCACTGTCTTTATGTTGCACATATATTATTTATTGCTATTTTTACGATGTTATTTTATTTATGTGAAGCACTTTGTGACTTTCCTCTGTGAAAGGCGATAGACTAAATCAACTTTACTTGTTTACTTTCTATTTGTAGAGGGCACCAGCTTAGAGAGACCTTATCACAAAAGTTATAAGAACGGACGTGGGATTCACCTTTAACCCTCCACTTGATCCTGTGTTGTCTGCGGTTGATGTCCTCCACAGAGTCATAGTGGTTGATAAAAGGGATGGTGGCAAACACCCCGTTGAACATCCTCTGCCTTGTACACGCCTGAGGTGAACACACGTGAATGCATGTTAGCGTGTGCACAAACACACAGATATCACATATAAAGACGACACTTTCAGTGTTTGAGAAAAACATAAGAAGAAGAGATAAAGTGCTGAAAAGAATCTGCACAAATGCTGTTCATATACAATTATATATATATATTATATAGAAAAAAAACTACATTAATTGTAGAGGAACAAATCTGACCGAAAAATACACTGTACTTTTAACTATCTTTTATCTCCATCAGCATCTAAAAGAAACATTTACATTCCTACATGAGTAAAGACACTTTGAGTGTTTTTTCATCCTGCTCACAGAATGAAAAATGCCTACACATTTACCATAGCAGGAAGTTAAATAAAAGACTTCTGTGAGCGACTCACGTGTCCAAAGTGTCCTTTCCTGGAGCAGTTGTAGCAGAAGGCAGGAGATCGACCATTGTCCTCTTCCTGCTGCTTCACAGGAGGACCCGTCTTTGTCTAGAAATAAAGAACAATTATATTTAAAAAGATTGTCATTTGAAAACGATGGTGTTTTGTATAAATTCCAAACATTTTTCCTCTTTAAACATGATGGATTCAATATAACAGTGGTTTAAAAGACCATTTGTCTCCTATTCTCCCTCGTTCCTGCCATCATTCCCTTGCACTCTATTGATACGGGCTGCTGTGTATTGTACGGTGAATATGGGAGCTGATATAAACCAGATTACCGGGGCTATAGTTAGAGGCTGTAATGACCCTGTATGATAAGTAACCGTCTGTGTGTGTGTTGGACATGGGGTCCCGTCCCCTATGGGCCAGTGTTCTGAAAGCCTTCCATGCTCCAGTGCCCACAGCAAATATACACCGATAAAGAGAGAGACAGAGAGAGAGAATTTATTGCTAATGTTGCACACACACATGCATCATACTATTCTCTCTCTCTCTCTCTCTCCCTCTCTCACACACACACCTGCAAACACTCATCTGGCGTTCCCTCCCTCCTCCCTCTGCCCCGATTCCGAGATTACAAATGATTTGTGCCCCATGTCATTTCTTAAACATAGCTTAGCTAACCTCCTCCTCTCCCTTCTTCCTTCTCTCCTCAGTCCCTCACACTTGTCCCCCCTCCCTCCTCTATCTCTCCCTCTCTCTCTCTCTTTTCCGCTTGAGCAGTTTTGCGGCAGAAAGGATGAATGCTATTAGAGCTTCGCGTCATTATCGGGTCAGACCGGCCGGGCCCATCTCCATCACAAAGGCCAGGAGATCACAGACCTCTTGCGAGCGAGTGCACGCACACACACACACYCACGCACACACACACACACACACTCAAATACAAACAAATACAAAACACACACACACACACACACACACATGTGTGCCCTAAGGAGATCACAGTCCCTGTCTCAAGCCCCCCGACCTCCACCCTTCCTGCCCCTCTTCCCATTCATCTCTCATGTAAATTGGAAGTAGGTCTGCCTGTGTCTCTTCCTCCCTGACCTTGGGCTTGTGTTATCTCCAAGTACTCTGATCCAGCACATCGACAGAATGAATGAAAGCACAAGAGAGGGAGAGAAAGAAGAAATGAAATCCCCTCCTATTCTCCCATCAACCTGTGATGGTTGTCTGAAAACCTGGAGTGAATGTGCGTCTGTATGCGTGTGTCTGTGTGTTGTCTGCCTCATACAATATTAATTAACTGGGGAAAAAACCTTCATCCCTCTCTCATTCCTGCTCTCTGTTTTCATCCAGCGCTCCCTATCAGAAGCATCTAAATAGCTAACAGGGCGAGGGCCTGAGGGATCAAATCAGTTTGGTTTCTTTTTTTCTCAGGGGTTTGGAGAAGAGTGTGGCTGTGCAATGAAAGTCAAAAAGACAAAGACGTGTGCCAAAATTTTGGATGTGGATTTCTCAGGTTAAACATCGATTCAGTATCAAATTGCCACAAACTCCTATGTTTGAATTACTACTGGATTAAAAATGGCAACTGATCTGAAAAGGTCACATCTCCAGAAACATTCACCCAAATTAGTTTCAGATTAAACTTGAAAGGAAACAGGCTCTGCCATTGCAAAGCCATACATTATTTTATTGCATATTTTTCTTTATAAATATAGTTGTTGACACCATTAGGGGAGCAAGTCACAGATCATCCAAACAGTCTCACTGGACTTACTCTCAACTGAAAACTGATTTCATAAAAGTCTTAGAACAAAAGAATGTCTGCTTGAGAATATCCCAACTGGAGATAAAAACCAATAAGTTTTATTCCTTATTTTATTTGTACAAGGTGTAAGCTGTAAAATGACAGAAAATGGATGAAAGGCAAATTAAAGTGTAAAAACTCTTTTGATTTGGTTTCTTGTGCAGGTCCTGACCCTCAAGATGGAAACCACTGACCTACACTATCACCAGAGAGCACTCAGCAGTTTACATCATCAGTAATGCTTCACTCGTTGTATTCGCAGCTTCTGTCTTTATCATCTCATTTCCGAGTAATGATTTATTCTGCTGACTCAAACACTGTTGCCATTTTGATGGGCAGTAAAACTTTGCTGAATATTCAGCATTTGGACTTCATGGGTTTAATTTTAACCGTTTCTTACAACCAAAGCAGTACAATAGAAAATATTTTATCAACTTTTATTGATTTAATCCTGTTTTATTTATAACACTGTCTCTGTTATATGCTTCTTAGGTTATTTGATTTCATTTCTTTTTTGTATTTCATATTTGTGTGTTGTTCTGTGAATCTTTACAGAAATTAATCTAATCTAATAACTAGATGGGAACTCAGGGACTGCATACCTCCACTAAGGATAATGCCCTATCACGCTATGTCAAAGAAAGTGAATATAAAAAATCCCTGGATCTGCCCGTTCATCCACATCCACTTCGAAATTTAAGGGTTTCTTCCTGGGGTCACGACTTACCCCTCCATACATTTTTATATAAATCAGTTCAGTAGTTTTTGCATAATCCTGAACAAGAAAAACTTGATTAACGTGGCGGAGGTAAAATAGTACCTTTACACTTTTCCAATTTTCTATTAAGGCCCCGAATCTGTTCATTCATGAACTTGTTTGACGCTTTACAGCAGGGAGTTATATTTAAAACATCTGTCTGTGTCGAACAGTCGTCTGAGTGTGGAGACAGCAGTAGAGTTCCAGCTCTGACTCGCTACCTGCTGATACGACATGAGGAGCATCTGAAGCTGTTCACAAACACTTTTCCATTCAGACAGAAAAAGGACTCAGGCTACGAGGAGGACCCACGATTTAGTTTGGGTGTGTTTGAGAAGGTCCTGAGGGCTTCACTGTGTGGACACAGACAACCAGCCATCCGTGGCCTCTCATGCATACACACAAACACATGGGCGCATTCTGTCTTACACACACACAGTGTTTTCCCACAGTTGTCCCAACACATACACTGTGTCTCTCTAAGCTCTCCTCTGCTCCTTGCCTTAGCTGCTGGTGGCAAAGCCGTGATAATCCTTTGGCCAACACAAAGCTCAGACTGTTACAGACCACAATCTGAAGGAACACACACACGCACACGCACACACACACACACAGTTATCAAACGCAATCCGAGAAGCAAACAGGCTTGTGTGTGTGTGTGTGTGTGTGTGTGTGTGTGTGTGTGTGTGTGTGTGTGTGACAGAAGACAGGGGGTGGGATCTGAACAGTAACGGGTGGTGGGAGCGTGGGGGCCGAGGCCAGTGGCGCTGTTTTGCATATGTTATTGCAGCGATGGGGAGAGGTTTGCATATGTTACAGGACCCGCTGGGGACCAACTCTGCATGCTTTATCATAGGAAACAGCCTCGCAACACAACACAAGACGACTGGGCTCATACCAAAACAAACAGACTCCTGCCACATGCCAGTATGTACATATTAGGTTAACATGGAGGGTTAATTAGACAGTTGTGAGTTAGAGAGATGGAATGGCTCTAAGGTGAACATGCAAGCAGCAGAACAGAAGCAGCCGATCAAAGCGTTAATATTCTTATTTTCATGTTGGAATATGAACTGTGTTGTTTCCAGAATTGTAAAGAAATTAATTATCATGTTTACTCTCATGAACAGAAAAAAATAAATCCTTCTCCGGAGACAGTTAAAAGTGGAGGTGTGCATGTGAGCCGTTCAGGAGGCTACACAGGAGGAGGAGGAGGAGGAGGAAGGGAGAGCCCCTAAATAACCAGATGTGATTCCTGCCCCCTTTGTGTCTGCCAGTTCACAAAGACCCAGACCAAAGCCCTAACCCCGCGCTCTGCGAGGACTCATACTCGCACACAGTCTAATTCCCAAAGGCTCGTCCTATCTCCTCCAGTCAATCGGTCTGGAGACAATCGGTAGGAGTCCTGATTCTCTCTTTGGAGAGAGGAAATTCTCCTGGAATGTAATGATAATGTGATGCAGCGGTGAAAGGCAGCGGGTTGCCACCTCTTGAAGAACCCCCCCCCCCTCTTAGAGGGGCAGTGACTGGAGGTAATCTGGTCACACCGTGGAAGACGGAATAGAGGATACAAGTTAATCTATTCAAATCTAGGTTAAAGTCATTCACTTTCTGTTCTTAGTACTCACTGCTGTGTTCAGAGAATTATTTCTAGTGAGGCTGTGTTTAAAATAAAAAAAATAAAAAACTAGTACCCACTATATTCCCAGCAATTAGACAGAGCCAACACATGTGGACATCAGAGACAGGGATTTAGATGTGCTATATACAGATGGACTGAGTTGCTTATGCCCTGGTCAGGATGTTAAACCCTGATTTCACATTTCAGCCAACAAATCA